CTGGAAACGAAACCTTACTTGTTTGTACGCAGCCATGGAGGACACCGATGGTCTAACCTTATATTTCTGAACCGGTCTTTTAGATGAATTACGTAAAAACAGCAACAAGAGAATCACCGATCTCAAACAAAAGGTCAGTCTGACTAACAAACATCTCTCATCCTTTGCCTCTAGAGAAGTGTATAAAGGTCTTTAATTGGGTTTATGTAAAATCAATCATTGAACTATAGCAGTTTCGGGCTTTAAGAGTTTGATGTTCTTTGCACTTTGTTGGGGTTCCTTCTCTAGCCACCCACTCTTGAGAATTGAGGATCGATGAAATCTGTGGATTATTCTCTTGTCTATCAGGTGTATGTCGAAATGCCTGAATGAACGTTGGATGTTTGGTTCAGCTTTTTTATAAAAGTTTCGACTTTCCTACATATGAGTCGCTAAATTCTTCGAAATGGGATAATGGAAAAAGGAAACCTTTTTGTCGCGTCGAAACTGATTCGGGTTACTCTACACGAGGTAGAGAACCAGCTCGAGCTGTCACTGCGTCAAGCCTATGAGAGTCTCGAGCCGAAGCTGCAGCCACCGTTCTCTCAGGAGATCCCAGACCAGCAAGAGTATCTTGAGCTAAACAGAGCTATCGTTTACGGCGTGTTATGCGATTCTGGTTCCTCTGAAATTCACATCAAGCACCTACATGCTCTCGTCACTGATGGGTATGCGTTTTTCACCAGCTTGCTCGTTGGAATTGTTGTTGAACTGTACGGTAAGCTTGTTGACTCCGCTAAGATCCAGCTGCTCTGGGTGACAAAGGAGATGATCGCTGTTTCGAGTGTGGGACTCGAGGATTTGCTTGTGTCTTTGCTGCGACGAATCGGGAGTGGGGACTATGGGGATCAGAATGTTTGGCTCTGTTCTGAATTGGTGAGCTTGTTTCTCGACAAATGGGATTGTTTGCTTGAAAATGTGCCATTGGTATTGACTAGTGCCCTGTACGGTTTCCTTCGTTTACTAGCGGATCATTGTAGAGTCTCAGGCATCGCGAAAATGGAAAACTTGAAGACACTGGAGATAAAATTCTGTGTCAAAATGTTAAGAGAGCAACTGCAATTGAGTTTGAAGATTGGAAGGGATCTTGTCCGCTTGTTGCAGGACATGATTCACGTCTCTGAATTTGGAAAGATATGGAACGACGTGGTCTCGAACCAGTGCTCTGATATGTCACAGATTTACAAGTCGAAGACTTCAAGTAGATACTTCCTTCTCCGAATAACTCCTGAGATGGAAACGCAACTAAGGTTTTTGCTTGGAAATGTGAAGCGGGGAAGCCAGAAACGGCATCAGTTATGGTTCTTGAAGAAATTTCTCATAGGTCCTGAAAAGCAAACACTTTTGATCGACATAGTCCGATTCGTTTGCTGTGTTATTCACCCAACAAACGAAATCATCCGATCAGAGATCATGCCAAGATGGGTTGTCATAGGTTGGTTTCTGGAACTGTCTAAGCAAAATCATCACATCGAACGAAATGTTAAGCTCGCTCTGTTGTACGACTGGCTCTTCTTCGGCGAGAGAATGGACAATATTATGAACGTTGAACCTGCTGCTTTGTTGATAGTATGGTCAATACCGCAGTATCCACACATCACTCACTCTTTACTTGAATTCTTGCTTCATCTTATGGACACTTATGACAAAACTCATCGAGATATGATTATGAGAGGCGTGGCATCAGCATTCAGAGAAATCGAGGGAAAAGGCGTAGTTCGATCGTTAGATATATTCCTATCAAATCCTGCAATTGCACCAGATCTGAAGAAGAAGCTAGCAAATCTGTTGTCATGTCATCATAACATCTCTCGAGTTCCTGAGCAGTCTTGACACTATGATATATGACAAGAATTATACGTCTCTTCTCCTTTCATCTTCTCAAGTTCCTTAAAGCTTTATGTAAGAGCGTACCATTATGTTGCTTTTGTTATTTAGAGCACCATTTTTCTGGTGTGAACAAACTTATTTGGTGCTATTTCTGACAAAAATGTCAAATACATTGTTGCTTTGCGATTACTCAAAAGTTAGGTTCATGTTAAGGATACAGTATGTGTATGTTATTCAATGGTGACTTAGATCTCGAAATGTATTGTTAAAGACTCCTTTCATAGAGTGAAGGAAAATCATAGTATCCTATTAAGGTTAGGAATCATTATTTTTAATGAATTTGGCTTTGAAGCAGAGGATCTTAAGAGGTTTAACGTTAAGCAAAAAAAAAGAGGTAATTATAAACATTATTCACATATTAATGGAAAAAGAGGAATAACGGTGGACTCTTGCTGTCAAAAACAAAGAAAGCATTAGTCATGTTCTTTTCTCATGTGATATCAAATTTAAGTATCTGATTACGAGTTTGTGAGTCAGTGACACATGTTTAGTTTTTCATAATTTTTAAAAAGTTGAAGACTAAACAATAATAATATAGTGTAACATTTGATGTAACTATAATTCCTGAATATATATATATATATATATATATATATATATATTGTAGGTTGATTAGATTTATATATATATATATATCATCATATATGTTATAAGCGAAGTAAAAATTTCTTATAAAACTTTCTCGTTGAATCTCAGAGTGGTTAATTACCCTTTACCCTTCTTTAAAATTATTTTTAATTTAAAAACAAAAAAAAATTGTTTACAACTAAAATCATGATTATAATATAGATTGTAATAATATTAAATCAAATCAAAATACATGATTTTATCACAATCTGATCAAAATCTACGATTTTATCAAATCAAAAATCATGATTTTACAACTAAAATCACAATTTTTTAATAAAAAACGAAACTAATTTTATTAAATTAATTTTTAGAAAAATTAAAAATCGAAAATTATCATATATAATTATGTTACTCCATAAATCTTTAAGTAAATCTAACTTAATAGATACTTAGATATTATTTTCTTTTTTAAAAACAAATTTAAATTAATTTTTATAAAAAATTATTAAAAATCGAAAATTATCATATATAATTATGTTACTCCATAAATCTTTAAGTAAATCTAACTTAATAGATACTTAGATATTGTTTTCTTTTTTAAAAATAATATTTATATGAATTATAAAAAAAATATTAAAAAATGAAAAATCATCATATATAGTTATGTTACTCACTTAATCTTTAAGTAAGTCTTGATAAATACTTAGATATTGTTTTTTAATAAAAAATATATGAATTATCCGATTTGCATAAATTTTAAAGATTTTTCAACCAATTTTTTTTCTTCACTTACACGGTTGTAATGTTTGGTGATCATGTAAGCTTTATATTTCGTGTGTTTTACATTAGTGATCTTGTGACTTTTTTGTGCTTTAGGTTTAGATTTGTGATTTTTTTATTATCTATCATATTTACGTTTTATATATTAGCCAGTTTTGGTGCACTTTTTTTTCTCTTTTATTAGTTTAGGCTGAGTCGAGCCTTTTTTTTTTATTGATTCTTATCTGTTTTAAGTTTTGATTGTTTTTGTTTTTTCTTTCTTAGGTGCTCGCGTTTTATTGTTTCATCTTGCGATGCAACAGATTTCATTTGCTGGTGATGAAGACATAGATTATGGTCATGAACCGAACCAGTTCTCGGAGTCAGATAAGAGCGTTTTATATGTTTTAAAAAATTATTACAAAAAGATCATGTATTCTGTTTTGTGGTGTATGCTTTTGGTGACGATTCAGAATGGTCTATAGGACATACGGTGTCGAAATCCCTCATGGAAATGAACGTGAGTTCACCTGGTTCTTGTGAAGCTTGCCAAGCTGATTGAACTTTTGGAAGGTACATGAAACTTTAAAAGAACACATACAAAAACACAGGTTTAATCATCTGATTATGGATTATTACTTGATCTGATGAATCCTAAATTTATAACAGTTCAAAAGAAGTTTCGGTGAACAAGGTGCAGAACATGGTGGTCTGTGTTTTAACCAAGACCCCACCTGTTGCTGCCGAGAACAAAAGAAAACAAGCTAACAAAGAGTTTAGTTCCAGCAAAAATGTTAGTCCACTTGGCATATTCTTACTCTCAAAGTTAGTTCTATTGATAATAATGATGATACATGAACAAAATTACTATTTTTTATTTGAACATCACTTTATTTGAATGGGTTTTGTGTGTGTTTTGTCTCTTATGTCCAGTGTTGAGATATTTTTTGATATTGGTTTCTGGTTCCTTTATTTTACTTATGAGCAAAGACAGGAGAAAAAAGGTAACTATTTGTACTTTGATCTTTTGCACGTTTCTCCGACTGAAATCTTTTTCGTGTGGAGTGCTTTCATCTCATGTGTTTCCAGTTGAGTTTGAACTGTTAATTATAAAATATTGTTTTTGGATCAGAGTAAAACTTCTCTTGCTTAAGTTTCACAAAAGATGTAAAATTTATGTTTAAGTAGCTAAAACTCTAAGTTTTCTTAAGTTTGTATGTTGGAAGGATTCAATTCCATCTAATTTTGTATTTTCTTTATTTTTAAAATTATTTAATATGGTAACAAATAAATATTCTAGCACAACAATGTGAAAGAAATCAATGATAAATTATATACAAAAATCTGCAAATCTTGGGACCGTGAAAATGTCACAACCCTTTTGTGGAGACTCCATTTTACTTAAAGTCTTATTTTGATATTTGTTTAAATTTTTGTTATTTTTGTTATTAGCAAAATTAAGAAATTTTGAGAATTTCTTTTTTTGGTATATGTCTAAGCTATTTTTTAAAGTTGATTACCCCGAAACAGTTTTGATTGTTCCAAAGGAGCAAGCTACAAAAATTAATGCAGTTTTCTTATCTAACAATAAATATAACACACTTTTAAGGAGGGTTTTAAGTTTGAAATGTGTATTTATCTTTTTTCTCAACCTCAAAAGATATAGAGGCATAAAAAGTATGAAGAGTACGTAATATGAAAAAAAATCATAAGGAGAAGAAGAATAAACCGTAAAAACAAAAAAAAGAAGACGAAGAAGACGAATGTGTTAAATAATAAAAAAAAGATGTGAATGATAAATTTGAATAAGAAATATGGGAAGAAGAAAAAAAAATGAAGAATAAGACATGAAAAAAAAAACAAGAAAAAATATGGACAAAAGAAGAATAAGGAAAAAATATGAAAAAGAAAGAAAAAAAATAATTTAGAGGAAGAAATAGGAAACGAAAAACTAGAAATTATCTTAATTAAATTAGTTTGTGGACTATTCAGTTATAAAGTATTTTTTAAGTAATTAATTTTGAAATTTGTTTACTTTTTTAGTTAACTTTATTTTGATTTTTTATGTTTTAAATAATTTTTTTAATTATTTTTAATTTATAGCATAAATTTTTATTTTTATTTGTTTTTAAAACCTTTTGGTCCGCGCAAGTCGCGGGATAAATGCCTAGTATATATATATAATGCGATTCTCTACGCTAAGAAACAGGAAGCTTTAAGCCTGCTTGTACAAAAAAAAGCTAGAGACTGGACTGAGATTAGCCGGAAAACTCAAATGAGTTATGAAAATATATGTTGGTTATAAAAATTACCATAGACAAATCAAGTTCCAACCCAAATGCATTTTTTTTTTAATTTAGTTTTTAATATTGCATTAAAAGAAATAAGATACAAAGGTAATTAACAACATACATTTCAAAGCCACATCAACCTTACGAACAAGGGAAATTTTAAATTAGCCACAGAATTGAATTCTAGTTCATAAATGATAAATCCTATAAACTATGAAGAAATCTTAACAATGCCATTTGCAAGGCAACTATAGGATCAATAATATTAAAATATTAATATTACACAAGCTAGTAGCCTAGTACGACATTAGATATCAACTAGCTAAAATGATTATTATGCTCTAACCTAGTTACTTTCATAAAATTGACATTAAGCTTGGGAAAAAAGAAATCGCGGTTCCTGTATGATGAGGTCTGTAATCACGTACGAAACATGAATCATAAGATCTCAAATCAGGATCATATATTACAAGATTGGGATTATTCGCACGCGCATCATAAAGCACTAGTGATTGCTTCTTCTTCTTCAAAACCGCCACAGGAATGGCACATGAAATGATAATAGTTGGAAAGAAAATATGTGGGTTCAGATCTTTTGCAAACCAATGAGGATCAGTTTGTAGATTCAACGAATATATTTTCTCCCAAGAAGTCTTGTTTAATGACCATATCTCCTGTGTTGGCCACTTTTTCTGCGATACGCATAGACGATTATTCAGGTTGCACATGATGATTTGTTTAGAAGCCGCTTCGACAAACGGAGCTTTTGAGATTATCTGAAAGTTCTCTGTATGAATATCAAAAGATAGTATTCTTGTCTCTACAATATTATCATCAGTGAACCAGTAAAGTAATCCATCTAAATATAATGGAATTTGTTTATCAAGAATACGGACAGGAGCACCAGTCGCATACCTCCAAGTGTTGGTGAAAAAATCAAAAACTTCACAAGTTGTAACGTTACTTAGGCCTAACTCAAATGAATTATATAGCCAAACCAGTGTGTATGTTCCTGTAAATTTGTCTTTGCCAAATCCTAGATTCCACAATGAGATGTGGCCTTCTCCCCTCCAGCTATCTCGATTCATCATGTCGAGAACAGCCGCTTGAAACCTCGCTTGAGGAACACTTCGAGACCATCTAGTAATTGGATTGACTACGTAAATACAGTTGTATTCATTGTAATAGCATATCATACCATCACAACTCCCACAAATCAAATAGGTATAATGAAGCAAATTATCTCCGTGATTCTCCAAACGAATTGGTTCACGCAAAGGGCAAATATTAGGAAGTTTGATCAAATCTGACGAACCCATAACAAACATCCTCGTGACATTTTCATCTTTAAGATCAAAATCTTTATCAAACTCAAGGGGATCAATCATAAGGATATCTGGATCCTGTGATTGTCGACATATCAAATGTTTTTCCTTGAAATAACGAGATTCGATCGTACATTTCCATTGTATTGACACAGATTTGAATCTTAACAGTGACTTCACCGGTAGTTTCACGAGAATGCTTTCAACTAGGCCATAGGGTAGTTCCATACCGTCACTCGCTGGTGTTAATTTTGGTTTTTCGTTTTTGTTTTGATTGTCTTGAGTTTGAGTTTATAATCCTTCACTCACATGCACTTATTTATACTAGAAAACATATTGGTTTTGTCTTTCTTTTTTTTTGTCTTATCTTTTAAGCCATGAAAGGAACTAAACCTCTAGAAAGAGATTATGTATTTAAGTTAATTAATTTTAACCAGGAAAATAATGTTAGTGTCATCTTTATGTTTGAATTTTATTCTATAAATTTTTAGATATGTCATTACTTATTACTTTAAGAGAGAAATTAAGATATATATCAACTTTAAATTTAAAACATATGATTGAGAGTCTGCGACACATGTTTAATTCGTTTTAAATATTTTTAAGAAGTTGAAAAAATAAACAGATATGATATTAGTGTTACATTGGATGTAACTATAATTCCTGAGTAGATTATATATGTATATCGTAGGTTGATTAGATTTATATAGTATGACATAAATGAAAGAAATTCTAACTTAAAAAATACAAATATTTCAAAAATTCTAGCAATATTTCAGATCTTCTTATTTTTCAAAGACACAGATTTCTATATTTTTTAAAAACGGATATCAAATTTAAGTATCTGATTACGAGTTTGTGAGTCAGTGACACATGTTTAGTTTTTACTTTTTTTTTTAAAGAAGTTGAAGAATAAACAATAATAATATAGTGTATCATTTGATGTAATTATTTAATTATATAATTAAGTTTTTGTAGATTAAAATATATAATTGTTTGATTAAATTATATCTATGATTTATGTATAATAGTTTTATATGGTTTTAAGAGGATTTATATGGATTTATATAGTTTTAAAAGGATTTCTATTAAAGATTCAATAAGACGTATGAGTGAGTGTTTCACCAAAAAAAAATTCATCAGTTCTATGACCAATTTAAAACGTTTAAAAGTCCATTATAGGACTTTGTAAAACCAGTAACAATAATGTATTTTAAGGGAGAATGTATGAGGTCTTATAAATGACGTTTTTGATCCATAAAACACATGAAATATGTGGGGGAACATATTGGATTTTCAATAGGGTCGCTTTGGCCGCCAAGTGGTGAAGGCGCATGCCGTTGATGTTTTTTTTTTATAAAACTGATTTCTATGATTTATATAAATTTACTATATGGTTTTAGATAGTCATAAAAGTATTTATATGTTCATATAAAGATTTAACAAGATGTTTGAGTGGCAGTTTCTCCAAAAATATATATGGTTTATATGATTTTATTTATATAATGAAAAAACGATTTTTATAATTTTATAAAAGATTTAAAAACATGTTTAAGTTTCATCAAAAATCCATATCGTTTTAAATAGTTCTAAGAAGAATTATATGGTTCTATAAAAGATTTTAAACTTTACCAAATACGTATCCATTAGTTAGGTGACACATTTAAAAAGCTTTGTAATCCAGTAACAATAATGTCTCTTACAAAGATACTAATCACGCTGCAGATGAACTCTCTTTTGGCACTGTAAAAAACCGGCAGGCAGAGTCCACCATGTTAAGATCGGCCATACCTCTAGCAGACTGAAACGCATCATCAAAACTCTTGACACCAGAAAATCAGATATGCAAATACCAACGGTGACAACAATGAACAAAGATCCTTTCACTTTTGCTCTCTAACAACATCTTCCAAGTATCCAAACACATGGTAAAGAATTTTAGTTATATCCCTTGATCAGAGCCGTGCCTGAGCACATGCTAATAAAGCATGCTAATAAAGCATGTGCTTCAGGGTCGGAGGAGTTAAATACTTTTTTGGGGCCAATCTTCCAAAGTTTAAATTAGTTTAGTTGATTAAGGTTTGTCAAAGTTCGACTCTTCCCAAATGCGTGTTTGTGATTTTTTCTTCTTTTTAAAAAATTGACCCATGTAGATTTGCAGTTGCATTAAGCAAAATTTTATTTTAAGGGACCAATTTTTTTCTCTCGCTTGTAGTTAGAGAAATCTCAGACACGACTCTGTTCTTGATGAACTATCATGTAACAACAATGACCTGTAACCAACAATCAAATTCAAAATATTCCAGACAGATAAAACACATGCATGATTCCAGTGTTCAACAATATATTTACTTGTCTTTAGCCACAACATCTCCGGCCAAATATATATATGATCAGCGACCTTTGAACATTCTTGATCAAAGCAAACAATCTTCTCCCTAAACCATAGCTCTTATGCAGCTGCTGCGTTGATGATAAAGCCAGTTTCAATCTCTCCCTGGTCTAAGTGTCAGCGGTTGAGGTCAGTCGCCTACATAATCTGAGCCAGCGTTAAGCCTCTCATCTATGCTCCTTGTGAAAATGGAAACAAGCTCTAGCTTTGCTCACAGAATGTTCAAATGTTGCTCCAGATCTGAAGAAGAAGCTAGCAAATCTGTTGTCATGTCATCATGACATCTCTCGAGTTCCTGAGCAGTCTTGACACTGATATATGACAAGAAGTCAAGAATTATACATCTCTTCTCCTTGCATCTTCTCAGGGCCTTTTATTGGAGATGATGGTATGCACATAGTGGTTTTTTTTTATATTTCATCTTCTCAAGTTCCTTAAAGCTTTATGTAAGAGCGTACCATTATGTTGCTTTTGTTATTTAGAGCACCATTTTTCTGGTGTGAATAAACTTATTTGGTGCTATTTCTGACCAAAATGTCAAATACATTGTTGCTTTGCGATTACTCAAAAGTTAGGTTCATGATAAGAAGTATATGTGTATGTTATTATGATGACTTAAATCTTGAAATGTATTGTTTAAGGACTCCTTTCATATATATAGAGTGAAGGAAAATCATGAAATCCTATTAATGTTAGAAATCATTATTTTTAATATATCTGGCTTTGAAGCAGAGGAAACGTTGAGCAAAAAAAAAAAAAAGGTAATTGTAAACATTATTCACATATTAATGGAAAAAGAGGAATAACAGTGGATATACAATGTATACTCTGCTGTCAAAAACAGAGAAAACATTAATTATGTTCTTTTCTCATGTGATATCAAATTTAAGTATCTGATTTGATATCAAAAAGAAAATGAAAAGAAATCTTAGACGAGTATTTGCCTCAATTCGTTCTTCTCTTTAACTGTTTCGAATTATTCTTGTTAATTTCTCACGATGTCACAACATTTTACTAGTAACATGTAACACAACGTATAAGTAGAATAGAGTTACTATATCATTGTTCGACCTCCCTATAAAAGAGGATTACAATATCATTAAGCAAAAAACATAAATTGTATTAAATTGGGAGACTCGCATCATCCTAAAGGAAAAAAAAAATTAAACATAGTTGACTAATGTGTAACATGATAATCGTTACGCAGCAGAATCGGAAGAACAATGTAGTTCCTCACACGCCTTGCCACATCTGTTGCAATAGCAAGTTAGCAACCCGCAATAATACCCGCGACGATGACGAGCGCTATTGTGAAGCCCGCTATGCCCCACTCATTTTTCATTATATTCATCTTCACCACACCAAAAGAATTCTTCTTTTTCTAACTTAGTTTCGAAAATGAGAAAATATATTGTAGAGGATATTGTAATATTTGAAAATGAAAACCTTTTACACATATAGATTGTAGTCGCGTTTCTAAACTCTCTAACATGTGATATATGTAATTCATTATTTCATTTATTGGGTAAACAAAAGATCATCAATAGGTCATATCACGTTAAAGCCTATTTAAAACATAAATGGCTAGTCATTAAGGGCAGGTTCATACTTATAAAATTTATGTTAAGAATCCTTGTTAAGAAATTTTTGTTAAAAAATCTTTGTTTTTTTTGCAAACAGTTTTGTTTTATTGTAAGTTCTTTGTTCTACGTAGAGTTTATTTTTTGAATATAACATACTTGAGATAAAAATATTTTAATTATTTTAAACACAGATTCCTAATATTCATATCATTGTTTAAATTAAAACATTATTAATTTATTATTTTCAATTTTGACTATTATTTATTAAATATAATATTAATATATAATTTAAAGATATGCATAATAGAGTTTGTTAAATTGATAATTTTATTTTCTAATTTATAAAGAAAAAAGTAAAAAATAATAATATATAAATGATTTATTTGGCTAAGAACTATTGTTAAGAACTGATTCTTAAAATCCTTAATTAAGGATGGGTTCTAAATTATTTAGATTGATTTTTGGACACAAAAAACTAAGAAGATGGTCTAATATATTTTTAGCCGACAGTAGTAAAAAAGTGTTAATAACGATTATGAAGACAGTATTAAACTCTATGAGAAAATCATTTCTAATATTGTTAGAAAATACAATAACAAACTTAAAGCCTCTTAGCCAAGTGTCGTCTTGTTGTTATTCACCCACTCAAAAAGTAAACTTTTCTTTATGCTTACATAGTTTGATACGGACCTGCACATTGTCATTACATGAACAGAACACATGAGAAGTGTGTTACTGCCACATTAGACAAATGCACGCACAGACCAAGATAAGGACCGAATCAAATTCGTTCATCTGGCTTCTAGCTGTTGTTATGACAGTACATGGCTTGATGAGAACATAAGTTATTTTAGTATGAGAAAAATAGATTCTTATAAAGTCTTCATTCAGGTTCTTCACCAATCAATACCAAGTTGCTTGGAGAGAAATAGATTATCAAGATACGTGATTACTGGTGCCGATGCATTTACATAGCTTTGCATCTCTATCTTAGCCGCTGCCTCTGTAAAAGTTCATAAATAAAGGTAAAAGAAAATTATCATCAGCGAATTGCAGCCTTCAAACATATTGAAGAAGGAAACTCCTTTAGCAAAAAAAAAAAAAAGAGGCCAATGTGAAACTGAAAGACATTTCTCTTACGACGCAAGAAGTAATACACTGCGAAATATTGCCGTGTGATTTGGCTAACTGATTTAAGATTTAAAAATTCTAAATCTTGATTGAATTATGACTACTTAACACACACAGACTGCATTACGAGAGTATCAACTAGTTCATGCACTAACCATCCTCATTGAGCATCTTAAGTAGGTGAGCCCTTGTGGGAAGAGCGTACATCCCTACAGAAACAGCTTTCCGTATAGCCCATCCATGGTGGGGAGCAAACACTTGAGCATAAGATTTAGATGCTGGATCCTTTAAGGAGTTATCACCTCTGCAAATAAAATCAGAGATACATTTAAATCTTCTGATCTTGACCAAATTAAAAAGACTCCAAACTTTTTTTCAGCTCAATATCCTTATTCAAAACCACCAGCCACAAACTGGCTTGGATGACCAAATATATACTAACTTAGAATTCGTTCGGCATAGAATTTGGAATGTGTTAACGTGCATGGTCAAAATATGGAAGAGACAGGTAATGAGTTTGCATAAACTAGACACTTACTCAGAAGCTATTATCTGTTCAAAGAGAACCCTAACCATGTCAAGACCACGCTTTACCCTCAAGAGGTTTCTTGTATGACTACCAGCTTTCCTTACACAGTTTGCCTCAATATCTTTATCCACCATTACCAGTAATGTCGACACTGAACTCGACGCCCTCGCAAGATCATTAACCTGTAATCATTTTCAGGATGTTCAACGTTTCCTTCCCACAACCTTCAGCCTAAAGATAAACACACACTACATACATTTCATCAACTTCAGAAAAATTCAGGAAGATAGATTCCAAATACTTACAAAGGCCTTCAGAAACTGACTTTGCTAATCGATTACAAAATCTCACAATACAGTTAATAGTACTTGCAGGGGAACACACCTAACAAACTATAAATTACAATATCGGTGAATAATCTCGCATCTCCTGTAAATTTCATATTCGATTTACTATTTCTAAAGTCTCAATAAATTTCGCAGCATACCTTGGCAACATAATCCATCTCTGCGAACTTGAAGGCTATACCGAGGCAACCAAAGAGAGGCGATACTAGAGAGCAAGCGTGAGAGAATTGCGCCACAGGCACTTCTGGACTCGGCGAATTCACGGTGGCCGCTAGTTCCTTGAAAGCGGTCGAGATTTTTCTCAGCGGCCTCTCGGCGTCCGAATCCGCCATTGAAGATCTCTCTTTCTCTCTCTCTCTCCGATCTCGTGATTTCAGTTTTCTTCGGTGATCTTTCGATTGGTATCTGATTTGCCGCGGAATCTACTTTGCTGCGAGACGACTCAAAAGGAGAGATTCGATCATCAGTTTTGTAGACGTTTGGCATTCAGGTCATACATATCCTTGTTCCGGATAATAATATCCCCACCCGAGTTTATGAATAAAGGTTGCGTGGAAGTGGAGGGAAAGAAACCAAACCGAACCGAAATATTCGAACGAAACCAAACTACATTCAACTGAACTTCATAATATTCAAACGGTAGGTGAATCCTTTTACCGGGAAAAAACCGAGCAAATTTTATGCACTTGAACCGAATAACCGAAATTGATTTTTTTTTTTCCAAAAAGTAGCTATATACAAAAAATACATTGAAATTAACCAAAACTAAATTAACTATTTTATTTTTTCATCATACTTTTTTTTTATCTACATCTGATTTAAACCGAATTGAAACATTTTAAACCAAACCGAGTTGATTCTAACCTATGCGAAAGGTTGAGTTACATACAATTAAATACGTGGTGTTAGTCGGACCTGTAAACTTGACTCGGTTGGTAATCTGTTAAAGAACGAATTTGCAGTCTGATATATTTTTATAAATATGAACAAAACCTTGTTAACATTCACCATCTCGCAAAATGTTAAGGTATGAATGAATTAAAAAAGAGCACCAAAATTATAGGTAGGGGATTATATTTAATGGGTATATTGATTATTGGACAGACGGATGCAATTATTTGAACACTTTAAAAAGAAATACTAAAGATAGTGACATTAATTGATTATTAGGTGGAGCTTAAATGAAGAATATTTGGAGTGATAATTTCGGATAAGAATAACAAAAAAAAAATTATTAGAAAAGGAATATATCTTTGTGTTTCTTGACTTTTAGAGCTAAGCACGCTGTTAAGTCTCGTTGGTAAAAACGAAAAAGCAATTAATCAGTTTTCGGAAAACGTCCACTTGCCATTTATTCCGCTTTTACGGTTTCCGCCAATTTTAATTGTATAGTTTCAAACTTTTCTCTCTCACCAGCTCTTTAATTTCTTTATAAAAAAATATTCCATTCTCTTCTTCAATGAAAAATATGATACTTTTCATAATAGCACCTAGGACTGGGCATAAATACTTGTTACTCGTCCCGTACTCGCTACTTGTCCCGTATTCGTCTTGATAAAACAAATACTTGTTATTGTCAAGTCGAGTAACAAGTCAACAAATTTCATTACTTGCAAGTACGGGTCAAGTATCAAGTATCGTTTTTATTTTTAATACTTGTCTTGTTACTTGTCTCATTACTTATACTTGTTACTTGTCTCATTACTTATACTTGTTACTTATTTAGTCTCTTTTAATAACAAAATCTATAACAAATATTAAAGCCCAAAGATTAAGCCCAAAAAAACTATCCAAATTTCATATAAGCCCTATATAATTGTCCATACTATTTATTTCTAACTTTTAAGAGATCTAGGGCTTCTCACCATATCTTTTCACTCTCAGTTTTAAAATAGAAAGAAAGCACTAAGCAGAAAGCGGCTGATTTTTTCTCCATCGATCTAATCAGGTTTGTTTTCATAGTATCTGAATGAATGTCTTTGTTTTTTTTATTAGGGTTCAATCTTTATGTCTTCCATCTTTGTTTAAACATTTTGAGTTGTGAACTTTTCTGTATAGATGGAATCTGAGCAACATAGTATTAGTGGAGGTAAAAAAACTGATGCAGAGGAAATGGAGAGCGGACATGGTGGTGAATCAGCTCCAACTATGGAATCTGTTGAATCTAAGGTAGTCCCTAGACAAAGATCTCCTGCTTGGGTTAACTTTAAGAAATTAGAGAATGGAGACAAAGCTAAGTGTAATCATTGTGGCCAAGTAGTTACCATTAGATCACCATCTGGTGTCAATACTAGTGTTATGCTGAAACACATGGTTAGATGTAAGAAGCTACATCCAGAACTTGAGGTTGAGACTGTCGCTGGTAAAAGACTTAAGCAAGCAACCCTGCACCATCGATCTAAAAAAGAGAATGATGAAGCTGTTCCATCATACTTAGAATATAACAAAGAAGATTGCAGAAAAGGTTTGGTCAGAATGATTATAAAGGATGAGTTGCCTTTTAGGATTGTGGAAAGGGAAGGTTTTCGAGAATTCATATACGTTCTCCAACCTCGGTTTGAAATCCCTTCCCGTAGAACTGTTACTAGAGAATGTATGAGTTTGTTTCTTGAAGAAAAGAAAAAGATGAAGCTGTTCTTTCAGAAACACAAAGGGAGTGTTTCTCTAACGACAGATACTTGGACGTCGGTTCAGAACATCAACTATATGTGTTTGACTGCACATTTTATTGATGAGAACTGGAATTTGCAAAAAAAAATCATAAATTTTTGCCAAATTCTGAGTCACAAAGGTGAGCTGATAGGGAAAATGGTTGAAAGATGTTTGGTGTCTTGGGGAATCAGCAAGGTTTTCACAATCACCGTAGACAACGCAAGTGCAAACGATGTAGCACTGAGATTCTTAAAAAGAAGAGTTAAGTCATGGGGTAATAGTCTACTTGATGGTGAATATCTTCACATGAGATGTGGTGCACATATCCTAAATCTGGTTGTCAAAGATGGGTTGGAAGAAAATAAAACCTCCATTAGTCGAATACGTTCTGCTGTTCTGTACGTAAGATCCTCTCCGGCAAGATTAGACAAATTCAAAGAGTGTCTTCTTCACCTAAAGCTTTCATCTACTGCTGGTGTATCTCTTGATGTTGAGACCAGATGGAACTCTACATATCTGATGTTGGAGTCAGCTTTGAAATTGAAGAGAGGTTTTGATATGCTTGAGTTAGAGGATGAGAAATACATGGTAGAACTTGGGAAGTTGGGCGGTGTGCCTACTGAATCAGATTGGGACTATGCAAAAGCATACTTACCTATTCTCAAGTTCTTTTATGATGCAACTCTGAAAGTTTCAACAACTCGTTACGTTACCGGGAATTCATATCTGAAGGAGATTTTTGGAGTTGGTATAATGATACGAAAGATGGGATTGAACAAAACTGATCCTAATCAGAAAGCAATGGCTATTAAGATGAAGGCTAAGTTTGATAAATATTGGGGAGATATGGAGAACATGAATTTGATGATTTTTGCTGCGTGTGTTTTTGATCCACGATATAAACTGAAGTATGTGAGTTGGTTGATACGTGAGAGCTACAGTGTTGGTGGTAATAGCATAGCTGAAGCTTTGATTGTGAAAGTAACACTGGTTATAGAGAAGATGTTTCAGTACTATGAAGAGAAAGTCTCTAGTTCTTCAACGCAAGCTAGCAGAGGTGAAGGAGTAAATATTTCTTCAGAAGTAGCAGAAGAGGCTGCAGAAAGTTATGACCTTGATTCTATGATTGATATACATGAAGAAAGTGAAGAAAATTGTGCTTATCAGTCAGAATTGGAGAGCTATTTGGCTGATAGATGTGCTCCTAGATCAGATCCAAAGTTTGATGTATTATTTTGGTGGAAAAAGACGGGATCGAGGTATAAGACTCTCTCTGTAATGGCGAAAGATCTACTTGCTATGCCGGTTTCATCCGTTGCTTCTGAGTCAGCTTTTAGCACAGGTGGTCGTGTCATTGATCCTTTTCGTAGTTCTCTCACTCCAAGAATGGTTGAAGCTCTAATATGCACTCAAGATTGGATTCGCAATGATTATGAACAAAGTAGTTTGGAAGACCAAATTGAAGAGCTTGAAGTTCTAGAAAATGGTATACACTTACTTTTTCTTATTTATGAATCTTTTCTTTTATTTGTGAACTTACAAGTTTTATGTTGTTTTACAAGAATTTACGACTTCAACTGCTTATGGAAACTTGGCACAAGGAGTTAGTTTAACTTTGGAGGAAGAATGAATGGTAAGAAACTAAGAATACTTCACGTTTCATATCTTGCAAGTTATCTTAATTATTCATATCTATATCTAATATCTCTATTTTTGTTTTCTTTCTATCTGAATCTTTTTTACTTATCCACCCAATTTGTTTTTTGAATATAAAATTAGAATCAGTTACGTGTTCTTAGTTCCCACTATTGTCAAATACTTTGCACATTAGTCACCAACAGGTGGCTTTTATTTTTGATTGTCAAACATGCAAAATTATCATTTTCTTCTATATACTTATGTTTATTGTATAATTTTGTAGGAACAAAAAAGGAACCAAAGTAGACAAGAAATCTTTGGAGCATTGAAACAAAACCAAAAGAACAATGTTTTCAATATTTCAAATGCTTATCTTTTGTTTGTTTGTCTACTATTTTAAGTTTTTATGTGGTTTTAGAATGTTCATTTGGATATGCGTTTGAAGAGATTTAATTATGAAGGGATTTATTTATCTTATTTTAAGTACTATTTTAAGTTCAAATTTTTAAATATTTCAGATTCAAGTATCAAGTAATGATTTGTATCAAGTAACAAGTAACAAGTAAATTATGAGTCAAGTAACTTGCAAGTAGTCAATTTTTAAACGAGTACTTGAAATAACGAGTACTTGTTATGAGCGGGTCAAGTACAAGTAATAAATTCAATTACTTGAACGAGTCAAGTCAAGTAACAAGTATATGAAATTTAACAAGTACTTGTCCCGTGCCCAGCCCTAATAGCACCTCTACTATTGTTATTATCAACAATTATCTCGTTTATTTTGATCATCCTTTACATTTTCACCGAGTAAATTAGTAATGAGATTGATAAGTACACAAAACTACTTTCACAACACCGAACCCTATTGTCATTCCGGGGGAAAAGGAAAGGTACATGACCGGTCTCATATGATAAGTTTGAAAGAAATAGAAATTTAGGGTACTCTAATGAAACTTTACTAAATTAGAGGGCGCATACATGAAACAAAGTATAATATAGGGGGTGTATATTTGGAGTTTTGTTAAACATGCACACACTCTTTTCTGCTACACTGTTACTGTTCTTCTTCGCTTTCCTTTTCTTCAACCAATACCTCTCTCCAGCTATTTTCTCTCTGCCACGCTTTTCCCTCAACTTAATCTGTCTTT